GTAACTTAACAAGGGCCCTCTGGGGTTCTTGGAGTTGCTTAGCTTGGGTGGGCTTTTCATGATTAGAGGTGTGGTAGAGAGTACGGAAATTGTTATTTGTTGGTCGAAATGTTTGCCGAGGTCACACAAGAAAAAAAAAGTTTAAAAATCATTTAGTTTAACCTAAAGCTTATTTCTTTCGTTCTTGTTATCATGGTATGTATAAATTTAGAAAGAAAAGCACTGTACTGTAATTCTACTCAGTTCGTGATCTCATTTTCAAAGCTTTACAGGGTATCGCTTTTCTGTATGCTACTGAACCTCAGTTATTGCTAACTCTCACATGATGAAAAACAGTAGGAGATAGAGAATTGTTTTACTGCGGCGCTAGCCCCCTAGGAATGTCAACCAGTTTCAAGGCGAAGGACTGTGTGTGCAATTCCAAGAAAGCACATAACCTTCCTTTTAAAATATTTTTGCCAAGCGTCAATCTGGCGTAGTGAAACCTCCGTTTATCTATTTTAAGACGAGTGATTGATAGTTCTCGCTTTGCCGTTCACAGTAGTGACTCAGACCTGATCAGAAATCCCGTGTTATAACTCTCGAAAGCTTCCACTCGGTACGCCTGGTAATGAGATCAGCAGTCGGTAAGGAGAAGGGTTGGAACTAGATGAAGATCATCGAGCCAGACGACTGTATCATTCCTAAAACCTTAACTTACTTGTTTCTACTTTTCTTGTCCATCCAAGGTTGGCCAAAGTATACACAGCTTCCTCGCAAATCATAAAAAGAATCATTCTCAGACACCTTGAACATCCTGTAAGTATCCCGAGTCTGTTTAAACGTAGTTTGGCGCACGGAAGAGGCGTAGCTATTACAAAGGACTTTCCTGTGGTTTTCTTAGTTCTGTTCTTTGGTCATTACGGAGTTTTTTCGTTAAATCTCGACCCCGTTATAACCAACCCTGAGCACGCTTTGCAGTCCGTCAGGTGGGTCTTATTTATATTTTTTTCAACCGAAATCTTTCAGGTTCGCGCAATTGGCATGGCTTCTCCTGAGCTCTTGCAGTTGGTGGAGAACTGTCCTACAGGCGCTGAAACTCTTATTGCCAGAATCTTGAACATTATTACCGACAAAGGTAGTGTGATTATTTACTTTTTTGAAATCAAACTCCATTTTAACCTGTAGCATGATAAAGTCGAGAGAGGAAATTAGTGAAATAGTGTCGCAGAAATGTACGAAATATTTTATTGCCACTGATAGGAACTTGACTTGAAAACGTTGAGTGCAGAAATAGGCAAGCGAAGTCATTGTTTTTACGCGAAATTTTGCTTGCGATCTTGTTTCTTAGAAGAAGGGATTATTTGGAGGGATTGAAAGGATTGAAAGGCGGAAGAAAGGACAGAACTAAAACAAACTTTTTACAAAGACGAAGGCGTCTTTCTTTACTTCTTAAGAAAGGGATCACTTTTTGCCCTTCCTCAGTTGATCTGTGAACTTTAGTCTCTAAACGTTCCTGAGAATTAAAGTAATGAAGTACACAGGTTGGAGTCGAAACTCTGCCAACGAGTGCTCATTTTGGCTTTTTCTTTGTCTTCTAGCGGTGCCCACGGATGAACTGGTGAAGCGAGTCAAAGAGCTTTACCACAAGCGTGTGTCTGATGTGCGATTCCTGATTCCTGTACTTACTGGACTGAAAAAACAAGAGATTATCGCTGTGCTGCCCAAACTGATCAAACAGTCGCCCAGCGTGGTCAAAGAAGTGTTTAACAGGCTGCTAGGATGCTTCCATAGTGAGTACAGTGTTTCGCTGGAATAGATGAAAACGCAATTCGGCCTGAGTGACCGCACGATATTAGAAGTTGTACGTATCAGTTACCTCTTCACTATTTCACCACTATTGCCGCATCCCACAAGTGTACCGTATTTGTATCTCTGCATACTTTATGTGGGATTTCCAAAACCATCACGTTTGCCATTCCTAATCGGTGAGGTCGAAGCAACTTTCAATGGCTGTTAACTTGGCGTTTCTCTTCTTCCTCGTTCATTTTTCGGATTGTAAAGAACTTAATTGACCAACATTTCTCTTTCATGCTAAATCTGTGGCTAACTTATTGGTATCATGTCATCGAGTAGAATTGCCTGGTTGCAATTTGTTTCATGTTTTGATGTGTTACCTCACTAGAGAAGACGCCGCACAGGTTTTTATTAATTTTTTTTCACCCTGGGATTGCATAGTCAGCGATCGTTCAGCTCCCAGCGCTTTTTCACGGGTTTAATCTACCGACTTAGCGTCACATATGCGTCGAGTTTAACATGTGGTTTTCGACCTTTCCAGAAGGATATTTCTCCAAGTTCTCACATTTTCCATCTTCCTGAAAAACTAATACATCAAATTCCAATTCGTCCTTAAATTAGTGGATGAAAAAGCATTTTGGATATGTGCCACAGCTTGATTTACTATGGTTTTTCTTTGTTGTGTACTTTGTGTTCACAACGCAGCGGACTCCTCCAATTTGTGCACTTCAAACTTCGCATAATCACTGCCTTCCCGTTACGTTCATGTCTTTATTGTGCTATTTCCTTTTGTTTACTTTTTTGAAGTAGCTGAAAAGTGGCCATGTGAAGAATGTCGGGGAAAAAAGGAAAACTGTAGATGCTTTTGCTGGTTTAATAAGATGACTAACAATGTGTTTTTCCTTATTAGGTGATTCTAAAGTATCCGCCACCAGCCCCCTCAGTCCGTCCGAGCTCCTGGTTGCTCTTCATCAGATCGAGGCTAAAAGTGACATGAAGTCTGTTATGAAAGGTAATCCAGTATTCAAAGAGGAAGATTTCGATTAGATTTTAAAGATTGTTCCTTAATGAAGGAACTATAAAGGGATAAATTTTCAATTGATTTTGGACACTGATGAAAGATTTAAGATTTTGGACACTAGTGGCCGACTTTCGATTTTTTATTTTCGCTCCAGGACCCCGAAATTGAAACTCGGCCACGAGGGTCCAAAGTAGAAAATCGGCCATTGGGGTCCAAAATCGGAAATCGGCCACTAGTGATGAAAATCGAAAATCAGCCACTAGTGTCCAAACTCGAAAATCGGCCATTAGGGTCCAAAATTGAAAACCGGTACCAGTGTTCAAAATTGAAAATCGGCCACTAGGGTTCAAATTCATCTTTCGATTTTGGATACAAGTGGCCAATTTACAATTTTCGATTCTATATACTTGTGACTGATGACAAGTTTATAAAAAATACGTGTTTCATTCCTCCCCCAGCCAGCAGCTTGTGTTTCGCGGAGAAGACCATTTACACTCAAGAGGTGCTAGCAGTGGTTCTGCATCAGTTGATGGAAATGAATCCTCTCCCTACCCTATTTATGAGAACGGTAAATTTCTTTTTAACAATTTAAATTCTTCTCCCTCCCTAAAGTTTCTTCTTTCTCTCCGCAGTATGAGATTGAGATTCCAATTCCATTTTACGCCGCCAGAACACAATTATGAATATTCAGCTACAGACCGTTCTCTTGTTTTGTGAAAAGTGCACCTGTAATAAGAGACAATAACATTTTTGTAGCGTTATCGAGTTGCTTACATTGTATCTTCACCCTGTAGGTGATCCAGTCTCTCAGTATTTGTCCTCGGTTGGTCGGTTTTGTCATGAATATTCTCGCAAAACTTATCACAAAACAGGTGAGTAAACTAAGCCCACAATGTTTTCTTTATCACCGAAAAGTGGACTGACTTTAGACTGAAGAGACAGACTTTAGATATTAGCGTCCGATTTTGGACACTAGTGTCCGATTTTAGACACCCTTGTCTGACTGTAGACATTAGTGTCCGAATATAGACACTTTTGACTGATTTTAGACCCTAGAGTCCAATTTTGGACACCAGTGTCCGATTTTACACACAAGTGTCTTATCTTGGACGCTAGTGTCCGAAATCGGGCGCTAGGGTGCGGTTTTTAGACTCAATGTCAGATTTTAGACTCTAGTGTTCAATTTTCAGTTCTTTATTGACCCTCCTCTGATTCTTTTGTTGAAGGTATGGAAACAGCCAAAAGTGTGGCAGGGATTTGTGAAGTGTTGTCAGGTAATTTTTCAAGCTCTCAAAATTAGAACTTTGACTCCTAATTGAGTATAATTTATGGGCCTCATGGTCCTATAGAGGCAGAGCAACTGCGCACATACCCCTCCCCTAAGCCAACATTAACCCTAACTTGTTATTAGTGGACTTTTTTTTGGTTAGAAGGGGGGTAGGTACGCAGCTGTTCAGATACTGACGTTGATCCAATTTATACATCGTCTTTTCAGACGCACTAGTAGTAAACGCAGTTCTGTACACAACTGAAGTGATCAATCTATATATATCTAAAAAAAGACCCAAGGTTTGACTGGTGCCGATATTCCTTTATTAACGATATTTATTCCGCAGTTCAAATTTCTTAATTTTCATTTACTGCCTTTGCACATTTGAACTCGAAAAATAATAGTCACGCTAACATTTAATACTTCTTTTTCTTGTCAGATGACCAAGCCTCAGTCCTTCTCGGTCCTTCTTCAACTCCCTTCCCGACAGTTAGAGAGTGTATTTGAGGTAAGACATCTTGAAAGTTCTCATTCGTAAAGATAAATTCCGTCTACTCTTTGTCATACCTTAGGTGAATTGTGAGTATGCGAATGTGCGGCAATACGTCATCTAGGAAGTGCAATTTCCTAATCCTTCTCCCTCGGCAGCCACCCACCTTGTCCCCCTCCCCCTCCCCCTCCCCACCAATCCCTCCGTTCTGTGTTTACGTGGAAATTTTTGACTCGTGAACAAACATGCGTAAGATACAGATGATAGTATCGCGATTAGTTACTTTATTTATGAAAAATTTGATGAGAATTATGAAGAAGGTAATTTTCTCAGTATTTTTTTCAGATTCCTTGACGCACAAGTTTTGTCATAATTTTCTAATCACATTATTTTTCAGATTTGCCCAGAGCTCAAAGAAAATCTGGTTTTGCATGTTCAGTCGTTCACTCCTCACCAGGTAAGCTCGGTTGATCATTGGTGATCAGTGCTTCATATCAAAACAGCCACAGCTCAGCTTTCACGTAATAACAGAGCTCCAAGGCTGTAAGATCGAAACATCCGCGTAGAGTCAAGCTGTATCCCTTAATTACCATAGAAGGCTTATATATAGAGAGCAACCTACATATTACAGAAATTTGTTCAGTTGGCTTCAAATTTGTGTTCATTCAGGCATGATACAGGTAACAGATTGAAAGAAGGTAAAGCGTTTTCAAGGTCGCGCCTTTACAATTGTGGACAAATATACGCTAAAATTTGTTACCATAAATTTTCAAAAGACCATTGAATGGTCGGAACTTGTTTCTCCTTCATCGCATTTTTTTGTGGTTGCACCTCGTCAGGGCCCAATCAGAAAACGAAAAACAAAAACACCTGACGAGAAAAAGGGACGATATAAGTGCACCGTATAAATCCTGTCAGAGTTGAGTTCTTTCCGTGCGAGTTCTGTTCACTCCAGTGAGAGCGCTCTTCAGAGTAACGTAGAATCTTCAATTCAAAATAAGTGTAAACATGAACTATATGCAGATTAATGGAAACTGAAGACAACCACACAACGTAGAAAAAAGTAATTAAGCATTGTAGGAAAATAACTGTTTGAGCAGCGAGTTTATTTTTCCTTACAGCGAGCTCACATACCAAGATCCCTGTTGCAAATCTTAGAAAAGGACGGAAAGAAAGACGAAAAGAAACCGAAACCAGAAAAACCAGATAAGGAACAAATCGACCCTGAGGAGGAGGAGGAGGAAGAGGAAGAAGAAGACTCGACGAAGGGCGACAAATCTCCGAAGTGGACACGATCACACACGAGGGAGGCGCTGAAAGATAAACGGAAATCACGAAGATCGCGCTCTCGCTCCAGGTCACCGCGGAAGAAACGGGAGAAAAGTGCTGGCGAAGAAAGTGCAAGCGAAGGGGAAATCAACTAAATGAATGAGGATGGATACTTCACTTTTTATAACAGGATGTGTGTAGAATGGTGGTAGAGTTACACCATCTGATAAATTTTTAAGACTCAACTTCGTTCCCAGACCATCTCTTCTCCCCACTCGCTGGAGCAAGACACCCGAGGAACAGAGCTGGAAAAGAGCCTGCAGTTTAATAAGGACATTATTGTCATGGTTGATTACTCATGTGGTCTTACGGGGGAAAACACTGAAAGAGACGAATTCTCGGAGCAAGTCACAGTTTCTTCTTGTATCTTAGAAAATATTTCCTAAACTGTTGAAATTTGTTAATTCCAAATGGTGTCACTCTTTCCTAATCTTCCTTGTCCCCCCTGATGTACCATTGCCCTGTTTGTATTGTTCTTTCTACGTTTAGTTCTTTCTTTCGTCTTTGTACATAAGACTTCGTCCAGTGAAAGAAACTGTGGAATAAAAAAGAAAACGTGAAGACGAGTGGGTCGTGCTAAACTCAGAGTGTAGTAGAGCTCTGCTCCCTGATCACCAACTTGCGGACTCAGTATTTCTGTGGTTGTTTGCCCCTGACAGGTGGGAGCCCTTAAATATATAAGGTAACATTATCTGGCGTAATCAGGTGAAGGCGGTATAATATTTTCTTGTCTTTTTCTTCCCAAATATCAAAATTGATGCTATCTAGAGCAATAGCAGTTACGTTGATAAATCCAATTTTATGATAGCAATCTTTTCAGTGTGTGGAAATATAAGCTTAAACTCTCTCTTCACTTTAAGATTTCAATCTATCAATAACCCGCTTGTGAAATCCATAGATACATACATTTCCGAAACGTGTAAAACAATTTAATTTTGAAAATTAGCCTCTAAATAGGTATTTACGAAGAGCCATATCGGAAATACCACGATTGCTGAAGTGAATCTAAGATCTCAACGTCGTACGTGCGCATCGTTTTAAAAAAATTGTTTGATGTTCTGTAAATTTACAAGAAATTCATTAAAGCTGAGATTAAGGATTTAAGTAGGAAGTCCTGTCATCTCTAACCAATCGGGAAACGTTGGTAGAGATTGTAAACAGCTATCAGATATGGTTTGTGTGATTAGTTGTCAAAATATGTGCTTTAATTTTGTAAGAATCATTTGCTATGTAGAACTGGTCAGGGAGGAAATTCTCTATTTCTCATGAACTGCCGCCCTAAGTCACGTAATAAACAAAGGCAACGCTCATAGAAAATTGAGAAATATTTTTTCAACTGAGAATTTATTCAATGTTGAAAAAAGAAGTGAAAGAAGAGGCTATATTAGAGCCCTTTGTACAGGTGCACAACTAAGCCTTTTATGTAAATAAAATAGTCTTTAATTAATCGGTTTTATTGGCGGTTGTGATCGAATCTAGATGCCATTATTTTGTGAACGTGCTTTGAGGTTCACAGCGTTAAGAAACTCGCGCGAGAATGGCCACGACAAATCTAACAATCGGAAGGAAACAAACTGGGTCTTTCGAAGAACTTCGCTGCTCGTCCACTCTCACTAGTGGAATACACCAGCATCTGATTTGGATTTCAGCTGTTAATACCCTTCTTTCTATCGTTTCTGTTATTGGTAACGTTCTGATCCTAGCCGCCCTCCGCAGGGAATCTTCACTTCACCCACCATCAAAACTTTTTCTCCGTTGTCTGGCGATAAGTGATTTAAGCGTCGGTCTTCTTGCAGAACCTCTCAACATTGTCTACTGGATGTCACTAGTTTATGAAAACTGGGATCTTTGCCAGTTCGTGTCGGCTGCTTCATTTATAGTGGGCTATGTATTAGCTTCGGTTTCCTTGTTTACACTGACTGCGATAAGCGTAGATAGAGTTCTTGCCCTGGTACTGAGGTTAAGGTACAGATATGTTGTAACTATACAACGAACATATGTGGCCGTCAGTTTCTTTTGGGGATTATCCACCGCTGCAGCAGTATCATCCCTTCGTACGCACCTAATTACCTTCTGGTTTAGCCGTATAGGAATATCAGTTTGTCTAACAACGTCAATTATTGCTTACACGAAGATTTTCGTCACACTTCTTCGTCGTCGAGTTCAAGTTCGTGCTGAAATTGAACAACCTGTGCCTAGCGATCAAAGTGTGCTTAACATTGCACGATACAGAAAGGCAGTGTACTCTGCGCTCTGGATACAGTTGGCGCTTCTTGCTTGTTATCTTCCCTACAGTATAGTAACAGCTCTGCTCAGTTATAGAAGGCCGTCTCAGTTGTTTTTTCTCGCTTGGGTGATGGCAGTAAGCTTAGTTTACGCTAATTCATCGTTAAATCCAATTCTTTATTGCTGGAAGATTAATGAAGTGAGGCAAGCAGTGAAGGAGACGCTCAGAAATTCTCTCTGTTGGAGATATTCATAGAGTTGAAATATTCTCACTTTAAAAATGTGCAAATGCAGAGGAATACCCAAACATTTGTGTAAGAATAGCATGAATATGAAATAGCCAGTGAAAGTTGTTATCTGTCCTGCCGACCTCGTTTTCCTGCTCAGAAAAAAATTTCTTCTGGAAGTGTTTTATACGAATTAAACAGATAAAAGTGTTATTGAAGAGATCCATTAAGCTTTATTTACTTGTCAAAAAGCTTTTAATCAATCAAACAGGTGATTTTTACTGACACAACCTGCCTCATAGGAAGTGAAATAAATATATGTTATTTGCCGGCTGGGAGGT